AGCCCGACGCTGAAGTTTTATTAACCCTCCTCGAAAAAGTCGAGGACGGTATAATCGGATAAGATGGTCGAGGGTGAACGGCATCCCCTCGATTTTGCTCACGAAATATCGGATCAGGATAACGATCCGCCAAAAAGAAGGGTGGACCTGGCCTAGGGTTATTTGGTATTGACGACAGAAATCAATGATAACGGAATCGAGGGGACCCAACGTGAAAGGATAAGAATACACATTCAAAAACCCTCTCACGTGCGAAGTGATATCTTCGTCAGAAGAGGGAATCATTATTTCTTTTTTATCCCAATTGCAATCTTTCTTTAGATGTTGGAGGTGCTTCTCGGTTATCGAACATATATACCTCGATACCAGTTCACATCGACTAGGGTCCGATGAGCCTTTATCGACCTTGAAATCAGAAGTAAGGACGCACGCCTCGGGAATGCACTCCTCAGGCCGTGGTTCTGCCGGCGTATCATCGGCGACACACTGTGAAGATGAAGCTTTCTCTTTCTGAGGGATGGTTTGTGACGTTTTCGCCATTTTCCAGTTCAGAAGTAAGGAATAGAGAAAAGTGACAAAGATTTGGTAGAATTGAAGAGGGGCTTTTGCAGAAAGAAATCACAGATTTACTGGTAAGTTGGAGAGTACGAAGAAGGACTTGGGAATAGAAGATGTAAAAGTGGTAAAGGATAAAAGAAAGGGTTATTTATAGGTTCAAGCGATGACGGTTTAGTATTGGCGGTGGCCGAAATGCCTTGAAAGACTAAACCGACGGGACAACTACCAGATGCGTCATGGTCGAACCCGATGGAAACGTCAGGTTATAATCCGATCGAGCCGTTAAAAAATCATATTGTTTCTCACCACATTCTTTCTGAGAAACGAGGGGACTATTTGTATACGGTCAAAATAGATTTCGCCCTTCGCACGTCCGATCGAGTTCAAACGATGATCTATCGAAGTAAGATCCCGAAGGTAGAACAAACTAACCTCGAACCCGGGGGGG